GGCGGTCGCGGCCGCCGTGGCTGCGGCGCTGCGCACGGCGTGGGCGCTGCTGGCAGGCGTCGGCTCCGAGGAGGACGCCGAGCTTGCGATGCGCTGGCAGGCCGTGCAGCCCGCCATGCGCCAGCAGGTGCGCGGCGCCCCGCCATGCGGCGGAGCCCGCGCCAGGCGCAACGTCGGGGCGCACGTCGACCTCGGCAAGGGTGTCGAGGCCCTGCGGCAGGCCCTGGCGCGGCCGTAGCACGCCCAGCGTGGCGGGCGCTGCGGGCCCCGAAAGAAGCAGGCGGCGTCCCAGGACCACATCGTGGACGACCCCGAGGCGCGCGAGGAAGCGGGCGAGGAGGAGCACCAATGCCCCTTCGAGGAGGACGCGGTGCTGGGCGAGTTTCCGCCCTCCCCGCAGCCCAGCGCGGCGGCTGGCCATACCGACGGCGTCCAGATGGAGGACGACACCAGCCTGGGCATCGGGGAGCCAGACGTGGACGAGTGCAAGGGCACCGACCAGGTCGTCGGCACCCCCGAGGGCCAGGTGAACGACAAGGAGGGCGCGACGGAGGGCGGCAGCCATGTCATCTCGCAGGCGGGCACGGCCATGCGCGTCGGTTGCTTGGACAAGCACGGCGCCGAGATGCAGGCGACCGACGGCCCCGTCGCGGTGGCCCCCCTTCCGAGGACGTGGTGCGCGGCTAGACCGCCGCCGAGACGGAGGTCGTGCGAGGCCGCCGCGGAGTGCCGCCGAGGGCGGCGAGCGTGTGCTTGGCAGCCCCGGCAAGGGCGCAGCTGCGCCTCGCCCGGGGGCCCGTGCCAGCAGCGCAGACTGGCACCTCGTGCGCCCGCGGTGGCGGCCCTCCCGAGGGTGGCGCTTCGACCTCGCGCAGGCGGTGCGGCTCACCGAGTCCGTGGTGCCGCCGCCCCTCGCCTCGGGTCCTCGCTGGTGGAAGCAGGACGTCGGTGATATCAGCGCGAAGGTGCACGAGGAGCCCCTGATGCAGGGCCGCCTCACCAGCACGGACGTGGACGAGGAGGAGGTCCACGGCCGCCTCGGCGGCGGCTCCCACGGGCAGGACGGCGACGTGGAGCCCGCCGCCCAGCCCCTCCCGCCATCCACCCGGCGGCAGAGGCGGCGTTGGCAGCAGCAGGGGAGTGAGGAGGCGGCGGACGACGACTTCGTCCTCCCCTCGGTCCTCGCCCATATGGAGGAGTCGATCGAGGCCCAGCGGCGGATCCAGGCCCGTCACATGGATGAGCTGGCCAAGATGCTTGCCCTCCGTGCGCAGGAGCTGACCGTGGCGCTGCGGTGCGGAGCGGCGGGCGCCGTTGACGACGCCAAGGCGCGCCTGAGGGCGGCCGTGGACCAGCGTCGTCAGGCAGCGGCCCAGCTCGGCGGCAAGATGGCCCTCTTCGAGCAGCGGCGCGAGGCCCTGCAGCGAACCGTGGAGGGTTCTGGAGCGAGAGTGCCAGCTGCGCGGATGGCCTCATGAGGCGGCCAGGAGGCGTGCGAGGCCGTTGTGCCAGTGGTGCGCCTCTGAGGGGCCCCCAGCGGTAGGTTTGCTGCCCCCCTTGGCTGAGGGGTCTGAGGGGGCGGTCCGTCCCTTGGGGTGCCTGGGTCCGCATTCGCCCTTGGCGGGGCCTGAGCTTGGCGGAGCAGCCTCGCATTTTTGGTGCCCCCCCTCGGCAATGTCGTGCTTAGGGGCCTGGGGTGGGGTGGGGTCCGCAGTGGGCCCTGGATCCGCCACCCTGGGGTGCTGGGGGGGCGCGTCCCCTGGCACGGCGGGCGGGGAGGCTCAGTGGCCCCCCGTCGTGGCTCAGTAGGCCTGGCGGCCCGAGGGCGTAGCGCAGGGCCTGCGGGCCCGAAGGCTGCTGCGAGGCGCGGACGCCCCGCAGTGTCCGATCACCAGAATCACCATAATCACCAGAATCACCATAATCACATACACAACACACACCACGCAACCCACAATCCACAACCCACAACCCACAACCCACAACACACAACCCACAACCCACAGCACACAACACACAACACACAACACACAGCACACACAACACACACCACACACACACATCACACACACACACACTCGCACGCACGCACGCACGCACGCACGCACGCACGCACAACATACACACAGACACAGGCACAGGCACACGCACAGACACAGACACGCACACCCACACACCCACACACCCACACACCCACACGCCCACACACCCACACACCCACACACCCACGCACACGCACACGCACACGCACACGCACACGAGCACGCGCGCGCACGCATACGCGCACGCGCACGCGCACGCGCACGTGCACGCGCACGCGCACGCGCACGCACACAACACACAACACACAAACCACAATACACAATACACAACTCACAGCACACAAACACACACGCAAATAGACACACATCCCAAGATGTCCCATATATTCTCCTCATCGTTCCTGGGTGTTCGTCTTCCCCCCTCCCGACTTCCCCTATTTTCCAAATACTTTCCACAGGAAGCGACGAGATTCCTTGTGTCTGTGTGTTTATTTCCCCTCCTGAGCCGACTGCGGGGGGGGGGCCGGCCATGGGGAGCCAGTGACGTGGGGGGGGGCTGCGATGGGCCTCGCCCCGTGGGCGCACCGCCGAAGAGATCAACGCCGTACAGCAGGAGCTCGACCACAGGAAACCTTCCACAAGAAACCCAACCCAGAGGAGGAGGAGGAGGAGGAGGAGGAGGAGGAGGAGGAGGTTCCCTCGAGGGATACCCCTTCTCGTCGCCCTCTTCCGTTCTCCGTGCTGGCCCTCCCTCGAGGGTTGCGCCCTCCTGTTGTCGTGACATCTGGAGTGCAGTGGAGCTGGACCACAAGAACCCCTCCACAAGAAACCCAACCCTGAGACCCCAGGACGCCCACTGATCTTTCCCGTGTCGGGGGGCATCAAGCTTTACATGGACAAACCATCAAAACCCAAGAAACCCATCCACTCTACCCGGGCATCGGCACGCGTGATCGGATCGTGCGTATCGTGGACAGCCCCATGCCTGATGCTCAAACGATGGGCTGGGGCGGATCCGCAGAGGGTGCGGTGTGGTGCACAACAGTGCTGCGGGCCGCAAGTGTGGGGGGAAGAACAACTTACCGATACCGCTGCTCCCTGGACCTCTCTCCCGGGGTGTGAACTGACCAGAGATTCGAAGATCATCCAGCCGTGGCGGTGAGATCTCTCCAGAACGAGCAGCGGTATCGTTCTGTTCGTTCTCTGGAAGTCTTCGGCACCACCCTTCGCTCCCTCGGTCGGCAGGCTGGCGCTGCTGCGCGACGGCTTGTCCGAGCCCATCCGAGCTGCGGAGGGCGCGTGTTGAACGCTGCAGGGATGGGCGCGCTGAGGCCAGCGCGCACCCGCAGCGCCCGGTCCTCTGATATGCGAGTGGGAAGCGTGGGCAGCCCGCAGAGTCCCTGAGCCCCCGCCCGACGACTGGCTCGAGCTCGCGAGGGCAGCGCCCCGGGACGTCTGGCACTCTGCGTGCTGCCAGCTCTGCTTCGCTGCCGGCTCTCCCGGCCGTCTGCGCTGCCCGGCGGAGGGGGAGAGACGAGGCGAGAAGCGAGCGTTTGGGTCGGGCGTGCCCCCCATGCAGGCGGACTCGTCGGACGCAGGCGACGACCCAGGGAAGCAGTGCCCACAACAAGAATCGACAGTGCTCCAAAACTCGTCCCCACAGCATGTCCTGACGATGCTTGGATGCTCCTCCTGCATATGGAGGGGCACGCCCGACGCAAAACGAGCGGACGACGGCGCGCCGGCGGGCGGGCGGGAGGGTGAAGGCGGACGGCGGCAGGCAGGGGGCAGGGGAGCAGAGGGTGAGAGAGCAGCGGCTGGCACTGAAGGGGCCCACAGCACACACGCACACACAGAGACACAGGCACAGGCACAGGCACAGGCACAGACACAGACACAGACACAGACACAGACACACACAGACACACACAAATGGATACACACACAGATCCCAAGTCCCCATATTTTCACATATTTTCTGGGTTTCCGTCTTTCCCCCCCTTTCCCATGTTTTCGCATATCATCTTGAACATTGACTGTGAATTGTGTCTGTGATGTTTCCCTCCTGAGACACTCACGCCCCCAACTCTTTGCATGCCTTGGGCGAACGATCCAAGGGAGGGCCTCCTGTGCTCTCGACAATGCCAGTGCCACAGGAAGCAATGATTCTTCCGTCGCTGGCGAGATACGAGCAGCCCAAGATGCTCGTACTCCTCTCGTGCGAAGGAGTCCGGGTTGTGCATGCGGGTTGCGCATGTTCGCGTGCTTGCTTGCTCTCTTGCAAGTGGGATGCGCACGTGGGCTGCGCATATCTATCCTGATATGTCAGCCACCGCGCGTGCACTGGTTGGCGTGTCGGGTCCGTGTTGTCTTCCTTATTTCCCCAAATTGTCCTGCCTCAGGGGTCGCTACTTGCCTGTGACAGAAGCCAATGGGTGGGAGGTCCTTCGTCAGAGACCAGGCCTGGCCTCGACAGGCTGCTTGCCTGAGGTTGCTCCAGCTTGCTCCGGGTTGATTGGGTGCTTTGGGTTGATCGGGGTTGATCGGGGTGGCCTGGGCAATATCAATCAACGCCAAGCAACGACTCCAAAAAATGCCAGGCAACGTCAAGCGATGCCAAGCAGTGCCACGCAACGCCAAGCAATGCCAACCAGCGCCAAACAACACCAAGCAACGGTGCCACGCAACGACAAGCAACGCCAACCCACGCCAAGCAATTCTTTGCTTTGCTGAAACCTGCTTTGCACTGCTTTAGTAGAAACGGGACCCTCAATTAGGGTCGCGCCAGGTTCATGACCTTTGTTGCGAAGCCATAGTTCGACCAACATGCGTGCATGTTAATGTCCAAGTCATTGCGCTTGTGCTCTCCAAGCAGAGAATATTGTGAAACTTAAATGCATGTAGGACCTTCCGTGGCATGTACATCTCTGGCCCCCCTCCCACCGCCCAACAGACCCTCCCCCCCTACCCCAGGCGCCAACCCGAGCGAGGTGGCAGATTCGCGCGACGGCGCAACTGGATTGCACCACGTCCCTGCGGAGCTAACGCAAGCAGAACAGTCGCATTGGCACGCCCATTCTCAAACTGGAAGCCCGATCCCTCAGCCGTGACGGGTGGCCTGGCTGCTATGACTTTTGGTGGACCGCTCGGTCGGCTGGCCGACGCCAATCCCTGGGGCTGCGCCCTCCTCTTCGATCAGCAGACCCACGGCGCTGTTCTTAGGGCACGGCTCCGCTGTGCCTGCAGGCGGAACGCGGGCGCCAGAACCGACAGCCCCGGCGGACCGCGTCAGACCTGGTCCAGCCGGGTGAGCTCCAAGTCCACTGGGTCCAGCTCGCTCCTGGCGCCATCGCCAATCTCTGGATCTCCCGCGGAGCCGTTCTCGTCGGGAGCACCAACGACGTTCGGCGCGACGAGCAGACCGTCCAGGCCTGGAGTCGAGCGCCGACTGGCGGCCAGGCCCTGGAAGCACTCGGTGCACATGCAGAGGTGGCCGCATGTGAAGCAGACTTCGGAGTCGCAGTTCAAGCACACGCAACATGGCTCGCGCCGTATGTCCCCGTGCACCTTCTGCACCACTTGGCTGCTTAACGAGAGGCGCCGGCAGAGGGGGCATCGCACCAGCGGGTCGTCAGACCCCCGGGAACTGGCGAAGCCGGCGCCCAGGTCGTCCTGAGCGTCGCCCAGGTACTCGAGGCGCGCCAGCACCTGCTGACATTCCTCATTCGACAGCATGAGAAGCATGGTCAAGGCCTTGCCTATCATGGGGCTGACGTAGAGGGCCCTGCTGGCGCCGCCCACGGGGTCCAACAGGCTCCAGCAGGAGGCGGCGGCGAACGAGAGCGCCTGCCTCTTCGAGGGGCTCAGGTCCAGCTGGGGCGCCACCCTGTCGCACAGCAGGAACACGCCAAGGATGGTGACGATGAGAAACAGCACCTCTCCGAGGACCCCGAAGGGCTCGGATACCAGCGCGCAGGCGATGCTGCCCACCCACTGCAGCGACCAATCCGTCGCCACCGCTTCCACGCGCCCGACGGGGATGAAGTAACGGTAGCTGTGCGCAAGCAGCGAGGCGGCCTCGTCCTCATTTTCTGGGGCCTCCAGGGAGCCGTTGACGACAACGAATCTCTGGTGCTCCGAGCTGAGATTGCTGCTCCAGAAGCCCTGGAACGCCGTGAGGCTCAGGCGACCTCGCTCGTCCCTGGCCGCCTGGCTGACCTGCTCTGCCACGTCGTTGCCGTGGACGAACCACGACTTCAGCATGCCCTGCAGCTGCCATACTTCTGGCCTCTCCAGGTGGCCAGTGCCGTCCGTGTCCAGCGCGGCAAAGAGGTCGGCCGGCCCGCGCGAGCCCTCCTCCTGCACCACGTTGTAGAAGGGCGTGCCCTCCCCGTTTCTGCAGAGTACCGCCGCGCCGTGTCTGGCCAGAGAGGCCGGGTCCGTTGCCAAGGGCAGCGAAGACACGAGCCGGTGAACAAAGAACTCTGGATCCAACGCCGATTCCGCGTGCCACGATGCCAAGGACGATGCCCTAAAGAAGACCATGGCACTTGGGCTTGGATGTCGAGTGCCCTCTGGGAGGTGGCAGAGCAGTGCCGGTGGGGTGACCAGTAGCCCAAGCCACAGCAAGCAGGCGCCCAGCCAGAACCAACGCCTCACCAGCAGGCCTCGCACTGCTGCAGGCCTGCTCTGCAGCTGCTGCAGCAGGACCACGCCAGCAGCCCGCGCCCGGTCCCGCAACCAGGCCGCTCCACGTGCTCGCCTCGCTGACCCGAAGATGCCAGCCTCTTGCACGACACGAGGCAGCCCGTCTCCCGTGCGCCGCCGCACCGTCCTCGCGGCACCAGGCATCTGGCATCGCGCCCCAGGGCCACGGCCCGGGGTGCTTGAGCCAGAATGGCTACAGACGGGAGCTCCACACGACAGGATGGGGGAAACTATAGCAGCCTCACACCTTCTCAATCCCTACGATGTTTGAATCCACCAAGTCGTCTGGGGCATACAGTGGATGGAATGTCCCATGGCCCTTGACAGCACATAGGGCTTCGGCGATCGCAGCGGCCATTGCGCGTGCGACAATCAGGGTCCTGATGGGGCAGCATGCCCGTTGCGCTGCGATGCAGGCCAATGCCCTTGTGACTACCCCCTGGGGCCCGCGCGTAGCGAGAGAGAAAGAGAGAGAGATAGTACGGCCAGGCAACCTTCGAACTAATGGCTAGTAATAATTCTAATGATTATCATGAGGAGTGAAAAGGCATCCGCCGTCGTTCGAGATTCAAACTAATTTCGGTCTTGAAAGACCTGCCAAGTCCCAGAGGGCGTCTCCTTACTCCGCTTCCCACTCCTCCTCATACCGCCTGGTGGCGGCAGACCCCTTCCTCCTCCGCATCCATATCCTTCTCTTCGTACTCATCCATGCTTTCCTCCTCCACCAGACCACACATACCAGAGCAGACGGACCAGACCAAGCCAACCAATGAGACCAAGCAGGCGAAGCAGATAAAGACAGATCGGCTAGACACAGTACTGAATCATACCGCGTAGGAAAGAACATTTCATTGACCTGTGAGGAGGTCAGACAAATCGATTTTACAATCAAGACGGACATGCGAGACCATGCTTATATACCCTGCTCTAGTTCGATCATCTCACATGCTTATATACCCTGCTCTAGTTCGATCATCTAGACCATGCTTATATACATGCTTATATACCCTCACACACGAAATCATGGTAATCGATGGTATGCCCAACCTTGCTTCTGCGAAGCGGCATGTATCATGAACTCACAATGACATCGGACCAACGTCAAGAGGAACTGGCACACCTGTGTGCTCACAACGTCTGTTTGTAAGCACTGGGACTTCATCCCGCCTACGGACCGCCCATGATCAACTCTCTGGGCATGGGCCCTGCAGGAATTGCCATTCATGGTCAAACCCGCTCCAACCTCAACTGAAAATTAGTAGGTAGTGCCCGCAACATCGATGGCCGCTTTGGCGAGCTGCACATGCCGATCGCCCGCCAACATGACCCTACATGACCAAACAAAAGTGCACATCACAACGGATATGGCGCGACAGCGACTTCGAACCCTCAACCGAGGAAAGAGCTCCGACCTGAGCAGTAGCTGCGTGAGCAGGTGATCGGTGACAGGCAGGCTTGCAGCAGCTGCGCAAAGGATCTACGACGAGAAGACAAGCGATGCGCGTCAGAGCCACCTGTGTGCATCGGACACAAGGCTCGGCGGTGGACAAACCTCCCTTTAGTAAACCTCCCCTTAGTGAAAGCGGCCTGGGACCGAAACCGACGGACCTGGGCCCGCAAAAATGACGGCCGCGACGCCCTCTCGCGAACCGAAAACGGCCAATCCCTCAATCGACGTGTCAGGGTAGGAGGTCTGCCCACCCCCGAAAGGCCAATCGGAAGACCACGAGGCGATCCCGTGAAGATGCAGGAGCAGCGCTGGTTGCGCTGATGTCTATGCGCAGCCTTCCGGAGAAGAAGGAGGAGGAGGAGGAGGAGGAGGAGGAGGGAGGCAGGAGGAGGAGGAGGAGGAGGGAGGAGGAGGAGGAGAAGGGAGGAGGAGGAGGAGGAGGGAGGAGGAGGAGGGAGGGGAGGGAGGAGGAGGAGGAGGAGGGAGGAGGAGGAGGAGGGAGGAGGATGATGAGGCAGGAGCAGCGCTGGCTGCGCTGGTGTCTGTGCGCAGCCTGTCTCTGGCGGCGCCCGCGGCCCAATGCGCCCTCGCGCCCTGGGGGCAGCAGTGCACGGCAGAGCAGCGCAGACAAAGGAGACCCAGGCAAGCTCCTCCTCCTCCTCCTCCCCCCTCCTCCTCCTCCCTCCTCCTCCTCCTCCTCCTCCTCCTCTCTCCTCCTCCCTCCTCCTCCTCCTCCCCCTCCCCCCCCCCCTCCTCCCCCTCCCCCTCCTCCTCCCTCCTCCTCTCCTCCTCCTCCTCCTCCTCCTCCTCCTCCTCCCCTCCCTCCTCCCTCCTCCTTCCTCCTCCTCCTCCTCCTCTCCTCCTCCTCTCCTCCTCTCCTCCTCTCCTCCTCCTCCTTCCTCCTCCTCCTCCCTCCTCCTCCTCCTCCTCCTCCTCCTCCTCCTCCTCCTCCTCCTCCTCCTCCTCCTCCTCCTCCTCCCCTCCTCCTCCTCCTCCTCCTCCTCCTCCCTCCTCCCTCCTCCTCCTCCTCCTCCTCCTCCTCCTCCTCCTCCTCTCCTCCTCCTCCTCCCCCCCTCCTCCTCCTCCTCCTCCCCCTCCTCCTCCTCCTCCTCCTCCCTTCCTCCTCCTCCTCCTCCTCCTCCTCCTCCTCCTCCTCCTCCTCCTCCTCCTCCCCCTCCTCCTTGTCTGCGCTGCTTTGCCAGCAATGCATGGCAAGCAACGCAGACAGCGGGGACTCGGGGACGATCCCGAACCTCCAGGAAATAGATTCGGAGGCAACTACTGGGATGTCTTCGTCGGAAAATGGAATCGGATCGAGCCCCATTGGGGGGCTGCTACGCCGGATTAGGCCGCGGATTGAGCGGTATGAAGCCGGATTAAGCTGGATTAAACCAGATTGCGCGGAATTGAACTGGATTAAGCGGGACTTCAGACTAGGGCACGGTCAGACTTTGACCTCCCGAGAGTTGCACGCGAAAATATAGAACCCGTGCGCTTCAACAACGAGGTTAGCAGACGGACGCGGAGGCGGAGTCGAAGATAACCCGCGTCTGAGATTGGCTGGTCAATTCGGCGATCAAGTGCCCACACGGGCACGACTGGACGCTGACGGCCACGTGCCTGCGGCCTGCAGTGCAGCGCAGCAGCGCGAGCACAGCGGCAACACAACAGGACGGACTCGATTCGTCGAGGCTTTTCGACGAGAGAGGGAGATCGCGCCGCAGAGCTATGCGCAAGCCAGACAGAGCCAAATGCTTCTACCTCGGATGCAGACTTTATAAATGCCCAATGGGCTTGGGCGCTCGTATCTTAAACGAGGTATAAAACGACGACGGCGCGAACTCAGCCTTCCAGCGATGGAAAACTCCCTACGATGTGCAAGGTCACCACATGCTCAAGCCGATCCAACGCAACCGACTACTATGAACGCATGGGCAGCTCGTGTGGAAGGCCAATCACACAGTGGTGACCGAAAGGACCCGATCCTGCTCTCCCGTCCTCTCCTTCACGCAAACCCCTCATCCATATCCCAATCCACTTCGGTCACCGACTCCAGCAAAGAGCGCGGACAATTGACGCCCTGAGGATCATGGGTAAGTGTTTTGTCCCTACCTAGGCTCTGCCTAGAAGGGTTCTTACTCGGTATGCTTAAAGGGCCGGGCAGTGCAACTCGCCCCGGGCGGTTCCCCCAGTATCTGCCCCGCGGTTGCCCCAGTGACGTTCCCTTAGCTTAGCGTTGCTTATCTCATCTTAGCTTAGCTCATGACATCCTAGCTTAGCTTCATCTTAGCTTAACTGAGCTTCATATAGATGCTGCTTTCCTGGATCCTTATGTTATTCCGAGTTTCGGCACGAGGCCGAATGGGGATGACGGGGGGTCTGGCGCCGGGCGGGTGCTTGGTCGATCTGTGTTGGCGTGTCTGCTGGGGGGGGGGGTCTGGCTTGGGGTGCAGCCCTCGGTGGGCTCTGGAAGCGAGGAGGAGGAGGAGCAGGAGAAAGAGGAGGAGGAGGAGGAGGAGGAGGAGGAGGAGGAGGAGGAGGAGGAGGAGGAGGAGGAGGAGGAGGAGGAGGAGGAGGGGGGGGACTTAAGGGCCCTGGAAACGACAGGGCCGGTTCTTTACCGGTTCCGTTTCGCTGTTTTTGTTGCCGGCTCCGACGCCGTTTTTTTACCGGTTTCTCTCGCCGTTTTTAGACCGGTTCCGGCTCCGGTTCCAATCCTGGAGCCGTTTTTTTGCCGTTTCCGGTCGCCGTTTTTTTGCCGTTTCCATTTTCCAGGGACATTTTTTGGAAACGGTGAAAAAACGGCCCTGCCGTTTCCGGGGCCCAACCTAAGGCAGAATAACATCCCTCAATAACATGAGACCCTCCGCCGGCCAAAATGAAGAGCATTCGAGGGTACCCTCCCACAGCATTCACAAGACCATCAGGGCACCCTCCCAGAACCGACCTCGATCTTACACCTCGGTCTTACTGTAGTCGATCTGATCGGCATGTCTGCCGGAGGGGGTGGGCAGCTGGGTGGGTCTGGCTTGGGGTAGGTGAGGCTCCTGGCTAGTATTTCGCCAGTGCTGCATGCAGAGGCTGCGCAATGGCTGCGCGGGACTGCTCAAGCGCTGTGCTGGACGACTTTCTTGTCTGAGCGTACCCAGCGCCCTGGAGGTCTCTCTTGATTTCCCCGAGAGGCTCCAGGAAACAACGCACGGCCGTGCGAATCAGCGATTCGCGTGTCCAGGGGGCGGCGTGACTCGACAGGATCGCGGACCAGGACTAGGCTGGATTGGGCGGGTTTCGACCACGGATGCACCAGCGAGAGGCGCAACTGGCACGCGCGGCGCACCTCGCGACCGCCACGCACCTGGCGCCTGTTTTGGTTCCCGCTGGCTGTCGATCCAGCGCGTAGCTGGTGCTTTTCGGGTGGCGGCAATTCCGGCTCGTGGAATGGGACGGGAGGGGGGGGGCGTCCCGGGTACAGATCACCAAACCAGGTCCCGCTAAACCTGGTTCTGCCAACGCCCGACAACAGGTCGCTCTTGCCCAGGGTCGCTCTTGCGCCGCGACCCTTGCGCCCATGCTGAGGCCCGGCGCCTGCTCCACCAGTGCGAAGCAGCCGCCCAACAGCAGCCAGGCTCTCGTCTGGACGGGGGGCAGGGGGGGCCGAGGGCCCCGTTCGAACAGCGGCGCGATGCATGGAAAAACGCGTACCAGAGAGCCTGAAGTCGGGCCTGTCCCTCTACGGATCTGCAAAAGCAGTCAACAAAAATAGTCTGGGGACCACTTTTTCCCTACCTAGGCTCTGCCTAGAAGGGTTCTTACTCTCTTTGCTTAAAGGGCCGGGCAATGCTAACCGCCCCGGGCGGTTCCCCCAGTCCCCGCCCCGCGGTTCCCCCAGTCCCCTGGGAGCTTTAGCCTTAGTTTTAGCTTCAGCTTAGCTTTAGGTTTAGCTTTAGCTTTAGCTTAGCTTTAGCTTAGCTTCAGCTTAGTGTTAGCTTAGCTTTAGCTTAGCTTCAGCTTAGCTTTAGCTTAGCTTTAACTTAGTG